ATTTAATCTATGATATCGTTTACAGCCATGAACTGAATATTGCTTCCCACATACATTAGTGTTATGGTAATCACGAATTCTCATTTGGAATATTCTGCTCCTCCTAGTTGGGCAAACCAATGAGGATTGACTGAAAGCGGAAGAGGATGTCTTTATGTTAATTAGTTCAAAAAGGGGATGACAGTAGTTAGGAAACATCCGATGTATTCAGAAGTATCTCGTTCAGTCACACAATGTGATCAATTTACATACAGGTACCAGGAGTTGCTCGAGGAGGAACAATTCATTGTTGAAAATGTATTTGACTTTGTTAGAAACTATAGATCGCTGGTATCTCGCTTGGAATATATGTTCATCAGTGAGATAACTATAAAAATACCTCGCCTTATTCAATACATTCAAGCATTATTATAAAATCCTGATAATTGGTATGAATTACTCCAGGTAGATAGTAGATAAGTATTACCTACATGTCAACCCATAGTTACTTTTAAAAATGATCCGGATAGAATGACTAGATATTATTACCCAAGGTATTATTACTGTACTTATCTGATTTTCTATATTACATATTGAAGCAAATTGATTCGACGCATTAGAGATAATGAAGAACTAGATGGCAGTTTCGGATGATGTCCATTCAATACCTTATCTAATATAAAGGATGGTTCTCAAACAGTACAAACATACCATATACATAGGTTTATTGAAAAATCAGTAGGTAATTACATTTTCATAGTCTCGTTTATTGTAGTACATGGAATTAAGGGACTTTGTCACACAGGTTCATTCAGTTTGGTATTCGCAAAGATCCCATAAAGTATGTCATCATCATCATGATGATATTAGTTCCAAGTTCTTCCTCATCCAATTCCGCAAATTATGCACATCATAATTTTGTGTCCCTCGGTTGTATTTCCATATTGATGTTACACTTTCTTCAATTCAATTAATATTTCGAATCAAGGCCTTGGCATAAAGGCCTTCGAAGTGAAGGACTTAATATTCAGAAAAGTACAGCCCGTATTACAGTGTTTGGAAAAATTTAGGAATCTACTCACTGAGAGAGCAATTACCGAGGAAATTACGAATCTATTGGAGCCAACGTAATACCTACAATTTTCGAAGCCTGGCTTATTTGTTTGTTGTAATTCTTGTTTCTAGAGTAAGATAAAAAGATTATAATTCAGACGCTTCTTTGAATAGGAATTCCATCTTGTAATGTATCGTTGAGATTGAAGAATACATTGTTGCCAATTCCCATTCAATAGTTGATATGGACTCAGCGGATCGCCGTTAATGATAAGGAGCAAGTTCCGACAATCCTGCGATCTTCATGAACGCCTATGAATGAGCTATATTCGTCTTTTGACATCTCGATTGGCAGGAACCATTGCGGGATGCTTCGTTTGATGAAACGATAACGATCTGTACTAAATATTTTGTCTCAGCACGAACCTCCTTGATGATGTCTATTAGATAATAATCCTAAAAAGAAACTCTCGAGCATCTCTTCGACTTGAGGTTCTGGGTTTCTCAACATTTCTGTCAGTTTATGAGTTCACGATCAAGAGATTGGCAAGTTATAGTTTGTTAGTACCTACCTAACTTTTGCTACCATTTGGCATTGAATGTTAGGTCGTCTACCTCGCCTATCATTCCCATAACATATATGCAAGTGTCATCAGTGAATCCATTAGAACCCATATTGTTCTCCTTCACATAGCGAAAGCATTCGACATAGTGTGGCATGATGATATTTTTCGGATATTTTGTACGAGATGATCGATAAGGGCTTTACCGATGATTTGATTCAGTAAATGTGTTTTTTTTCAGAAAAATCGATCTTTTCAAATGGAACTTGTTGATTAACGATCTGGTATCGAGCTCATTGGAGCTGGTGTTCCTTAAGGTGCAGTTTTATCGCCTCTGTTGAACAGTGTATTTATTTTACTAACGATTTGTCAAGACCAGTGATCTGCAAGATGTCGCTTTCTGCTGATGATACGGCAGTTCTTGAATATTCGACAAATTCCCAGCAAGCAGCTAAGAATCCTCGAAGCGCGCTGAATCCACTTCAGGAGTACTGCCTTAGATGACTAAATTTACTCTTCTCGAGTTTTTGATATTCATTCGTTCCGTTGGGACATTTTCAATTCTCAGTATGTATTTCTGAGACTCATACCGTGTTTATTTATTTTCATTTCATGATATACCGGGTGTCACAGGATACATGTAGCCTGTCGTTTTTTTACTTGGAGTGATAAAAATTCCAAATCCACAAGGACTATATTTTTGATGATGGCGCTTCTTTTGAATCCAATGAAAATTTTTTTCAACCACCTGTTTGATTGGAAGTAGACCCGACATTTTTTTTTTTTTTTTTTCGAATGACACCCTGTATATTTCTGTAGTCGATCGTATTCGCCTTGATATTCACTATTCAACTATGTATGACAATTTCATATTCGTTCTTTAATTGGCTGTCAAATTTCATTTTATTGAACTCACGATACACCAATTATTACAACAATAATTTCAGTTTCATGTATCCAAATGGATGATTATATTATGGCTATGTAGATCCAATTGATATAAATAATGACAAGAAACTATATTTTATTGACTGCTGAATCTATCAACATGACATATCAGCAAACGTTAAAACTATACAGAGTATGATATATGTAAGTTCACCACATTACTCCCCCCCTAGTGTCAACGGCTAACTGAAATGTAACAACTTTCTTAAGCTTGATAGGCTCTTGTAGCTTGTCCTTCATAACTTCAGAAATATCTAATGCATCAATAACTTTATGATACTTAATGCGATCACACGTTATCCCAGCACTACTGAAACGTTCTTCAGCATTGATGAACCAAGTGTCTGGTTCTTTTTTCCAAAAAGGAGGTAAAGTGAATTTAGATGGAAACTTGTTCTCCCTTCGAGAAATATTCAAAAAATCATTAGATTCAGGTTGTTCTGAAGATGACTGATGACTTGTAGATGGAATATAACTTGATGTGGATGAACTGGAAGTAATCTTATTTTCTAAGAGAGTCATTCGTTGTTTCATTTCTTCCTGGAACGTAGAAAACTGTGACGAAATTCCTTCAATTAAACGAATGAAATCAATAGAAGTAAAAGAACTCTCAGTAGTTTCCTGCTCGCTATCTTTTAGTAGGACTGAGCAGTCAAACTCTTTGCTGTTCCCATATTGTTCGTTGATAATCGTCTCTAGCCTTATCAACTTATCTGCTTTGGTTCCACATAAACCAACGTTGAGTTTTTTGAGAATTTTTGTTAAATCTTCATTGGTTAGGTCATTGATTGACTTTTCAACCATCTTGTAATATCAGAATAATAGTAATCTGTTCTTATCGGGGTCACCAATTTGTAGATCCAATTGATATAAATAATGACAAGAAACTATATTTTATTGACTGCTGAATCTATCAACATGACATATCAGCAAACGTTAAAACCGAGGTTAAAACTATACAGAGTATGATATATGTAAGTTCACCACAGCTACATGGCAAGAATAAGAAGACAAATAGTTTCTTCACAAGTAGCCAAATGAAAAAAACTGAGTTTTAATCTTAGTTTCCTCAATATCGTGAGTTATTTTCGGATGATTTTTATGAACTCAATGAAATTCTTGACAATCTTCTGGGACCGATGAGGGTATGGAAAAGTTTCTGATAATATCGTCTAAGTGATGATTTTGGATTTCTTAGCCAAAAAGCATCGAAATGTCATTGTATTCGGGCAACAGCCAACTTCATGTATTTCACAAAAATGCAATTTGACAGCCAATCAATGAACGTTTATCAAATTGTGATACCTAATTGAATAGAGAATTTGAAGGCGAATGAGAAAGCCTACAGAAATATACAGGGTGCCATTTGGAAACAAAAAGTTGGGTCTACATCCGATCAAACAGGTGGTTGAACAGAATTGTCATGGGGTTCAAGGGAAGCGCCATCATTGATAATATAACCCTTGTGAATTTCAAATTTCAATCTCTTCAAATAAGAAAACTACAGGCTGTTCCGTGTCTCCTGTGTCACCCGGTATATATTGGGATAAGGAGGATTCTTCCCTGGTCTGAATCAAATGAAAGGAAATCTTTGGTAGAAGTCCATATTGCTCAACTCTCAACTTATTTTATGATATTTCATAGTCAATGGTTTTTTCAGGTTGCTCAACTCTCTCCTACATGTATCCCTCTCCCTTAATCCAAATTCTCCAATAATTGTAATAGATCTTGTTAAATGCCTATGCTCATGGTCAGATTTTCATGTTTTATCCCTTGACATTGACATTGGCTCTATGTCAACGTCTTGTCCATGTCTTCAATTGACATAATTTTCAGTGTTTTCTAACCAAATTAGTTTAGATTCAAAACACGTGCTGGCTGCTTGCCCCATCAATTTTATTGATATTTGCTTTAAATAACGCCTTCATAAGGGAACGGGGATCCCCTTTTTTAAAAACCCGCTAGTTTATGGTGTTGTCAGATATTAAATTGTTTGACAATACCCTTCATATACCATTTTGGGTATATGAAATGTTCTTTAATAAAACTTAGTATACGCTCTCAGGGCACGGGGCCCTTCATTTATTGAGAACCCGTTTATTCAATATTCATTTTGGAACTCTCAACTATGGGCATTGGCAGGAAATAATTTTTTCAACTCCAAGTAAGTCTAGCATAAAATAGGTAATCTTTTCATTTCAATATCATTTGTTTTGGTATTGTAGACTTTTCAATTAGGCTGAAGATGGTCTTTTAGACCGAAACATGTCCCTCATGAATTAGTTAAAAATATCATTAAAATTTGTGGAGATGACTTCGAGCATTCCTTCCTTCCTGTGAAATGAAAGGAAGATCCAATAACTCACCTGGAAGTACACCTGTCCATGGTCGACCCATCCAATAACCATATCGGCCCCCGCCATCCGCCCGTCCTTGGAGAACCCGAACCCCACGTACCCGAGAGTCCGCACCTGCAGCTCGAAGGTCATGTCCTGCGGCCCGGGCCCCAGGGACCACAGCAGGCGGTAGTCCGGGCTGAGGTAGGCCGAGTGGGCCCACCTAGCGCTCCGGGACGCGCCGAACAAGCACAACACACACAACGCGAACAGGCACGTCGCAGGCCGGTCCATGGCTGCTGCTGAAGCTGGACTGGCCTGAAGCTGGGTTGGCCTGAAGCTGGGCTGGCCTTAGAAGGATAGACACATTATCTGAAAGGAAAAATACATCGATTAGAAGAGCAAATCAGGAGAGGAATGGATTGGCAACACACCAGGGTTACTACCTGTTAGAGTTTTCTGTTTTGACGTATTCTGTATATTAGAGTACGGACACTAGACAAGCAGTGACAATCAAACATAACCACAAACGATATTATACAAGAAACGGCACAACAGCAGTCAAGTACATTCAGGAACACGACTTCGTGCCATTGGGTCAACTTGGTTTACGGATAGCTGAAGGTTTAAGGGCAGATCTGGTGCTGGAGTATTCGCGGGAATCAATGTTATACCAGGTGGCGTTCGGTTTTCATCGTTCCATGTCAAAGCCACGTCAAAACTGAGGGAAAACAAACTTAATCCTCACTCAATTGACTCAATCCCATTAGTGCCATTAGCTTATGTACTGTGTACTCTTGACATTAATTGTCAATATTCGATCGAAAACGCTAATAATGCCTGTTGCAGATGTTCATTTGGCAGATATTTTGCTCTATTTTGATGGAAAAAGACGACCAGTAGTGGAAGGAGAAGCAGTTCTCCGTGCTTATCATGTGATTTTGTGTGAGGCAGAAAACTTCAACAAAGGCACATTTTTTCACTTTTTCACAAACTTCGGCAATGAAATCTTCCCCACATGAAGTAAAATTGAGGTTGGGGTCCAGATGACCTCCTGTAGAACAATGGATTTGCATTTGTTCATGCAAAGCAGGGCAATCTGGGTATTGTGAACATGTTGTAGCTGTTCTTTTATATGTCAATTGATTTGCTCGTCATAATTAGTTTGAAGTGTTTGAACTATCTCCAATTTTTCACCCGTTCACTGTTCACTAAGCTAATAAAAATAAACCAACTCAACCATCATCACTACCAACAGTGCCAACACTTTATGTCATTGACATGTTTGACTACAGCTACAGCAAGCTGAATGCAATGTAGCCTATGCACTTTATCCATAAACAACAGTTCGTTTTCCCCCAGTTTGAAGTTCGTATTATGTCACCTAGATGTCGCCCACTTCGTGAATCTCGCGAATATAAAGGAGGAACAGGAAAAGGAATCTCAGTAGGTACCTCTTGGCAAATACACCTCAGTGTTCGAGGCAGAAGTGTTTGAAATACCGACGTGTGTCCAAGGAAATTTCGGCAGAAGTGGTAGTGGACCAAATAACATGTACTAGGACGCTCACTACATGATTTAAGGTACTGTAACAAGAATTTTTGCCTTCTTGATAGTTAACACTCTGTATTGTTATATCTACCTTGTTGCTTCAACCATATAAGAACCATTTCCATTACTGAATGACAACGGGGTATTTCCTCATACTGGTGGAAAATATGTTTTGTTTTTGATTGGTTGTTGATCGTATATTTTTTCCATCACTAAAGTAAATTTAGCAGAACTGTCAAGATGATTGTACACACTGTTGATCTAGGATTCGGACAGTAGATAGTACGTTGAAGGATGTCAACTGTGTCAACTATTTTGGTACGTTCCGAGATGACGCCCTGACAGGAGGCCTGTTCGTTTGTATTGCTAAACTTGCTGGTGCTGATTATTCTCCCATAGTTGTCTCTGTTCATGGCATGACGTGAACAGAGAAAGTCATAGAAGAAAATCAAGTTTAGCAGGTAGAGCAAGCACAAACGAACAGGCCTAGGGTAACAACGATCCATGAATCTCTCGGTGCAGATCAGTGCAATTCTGTCGTCAGAATAGATTTGTGAGGGCTGGCAACAGTGTAATATTCCTGAATATTGGATCTGGCAACCTAGAGTTGATTGTCAACTTTTCAAACTCAACGTCATTGCGCACATTCGCATTTGGAAAACAACTGTTTTTTCATGAATACCTAATTAGAACACTCACAAATAGAGATGCTGATTTATGTTAGCACCACGATCATACAGGACAACACCGGTGGGTGATATTATGATTTCATAATACCGTATATTCGCCTATACCCTGACTTTCTTTTATTTCGTCCTCTATAAAGGTCATTTTCAAGACGTCATCTTGACGTATAAATATGATGTCTTATGACTGTGACGTTTTGATGTCTTTGCGTGAAGATTCATGTCCAAGCCCTCCAAAGGAAAGTCGTAGTCGACAATGGCGTGATATATAAAATTATTTGTGGATTGAAAGTCTACGTCAAAAAATGACAAGGTTCGCGCATTGATAACAATTTGTGAAGTTACACCCTTTTCAGTTTCATATATTCATATTGTGCATCGAGTCGTTGTGCAGATTATAGCTAATCGTCAATGATTTTTAGTACTTCTCGAGTTCTTCAACAATTATGACAATCCAGATTCTGAAAAGTAGATCAAGATCAATTAAATGCCCTGAAATTTTCCTGGACTATAAAGAATTTTCACCAATGAATATTCATAATATTCATATTTATAATATTAATTGGTTATGGTGACATTGATAAAAATAAATATTTCCGATATTCCCGAAGGAACTCCTCGAAAACACATAGACTATTTAAACTTGGACTCTGACAATATAACAAGGCGTAAAAATTTATATGCAATTACTTGAAACGTCTTCTAAGTCTGGAGTTGTTCACAAAGATAGAAATTGCGATGATTTTCATGTAAATTTCTGGAATATCCTTGAAATAAATCAAAAAACTGTAAATAATTCAACTTTGTCACGATCTTCTACTGCAAATCATTTCAGAAGGTGAAAGTTTTAATAAGGTTGGTCACATTAGTTCGCATCAGTTCCATAAATTTTCTTGCGAAATTGAAGTTGGAAACGAGATTTCAGATAAAAAGAATCCAGAGTTCATTATCAAACAATTATCAACATAGAAGTGCATTTTTTTGTCTATATAGAAATAATAATAGTAAAATATAATAATAAACTTTATTCATGGCAAGTATGAAATTCAACTGCATACAAAACAATTAGAAAAAAGTTGAATTGCGATAAGTACTGTTGTAGTTATCGGTTGTAGTTGTTTCGCAAGAAGAGAATAACAGAGGTAGGGAATAGTTAATCAATCTAAATAAACGATAACATTACCTACATTTCCTGAATAAACAATGAAATCACCTTTCTGTGACATTATGCAAAATAAATCCAATATTATTGATGATGATTGATGAATAGGTTCACCTTTATTTTTCCCGAAACGACAAGAGAACACTCGGTCTGAAGCACATATTGTTTTATGAATTGTCATTTATACAAAAGCTCAAAGTAAGTACCTCTACCTATTTATTATGAAAAACAAAATACCCATCGATCCACTAACATTCACATAATTTCAACATGGTTGAACTCCATTGGCTTGTTATGTCAGTATTGCCTGGAAAACAACCACAGTTTATGTGATTAAATTTTCAACAATAATCGATTCATCAATAACACTTTGTTATACGCTGTGGTCATTCATTCGGAGATAAATGATCCTTTTGTTCTTGGTTGACATGTTGTTGAAGTTGATGTGAATTCTTGTTCATCACAATACATGATAAAAGTTATAGGATCAAAAACGACATTGGAGCTAACATGTCAAGGAAAGAAGGTTATATCTGAAGAGAAAACATGTGGTGAATGAAGAAATCAGACAACTGTGATGAAGGTAAATGCATATGACTCATATTTATCTATTTTTACTCCATCGTCTATGAATTGATAAATCTACTCTTAGCTACTTCTTGAGCTACTTCTTTACCTAGTGAATTTCCAGATCAATTTCACATACATGAAAGACATTTTTGTGTGTCAGCATCCATGTGGGAGAATGAAACCAACCGAAGTGAACATTCTACATTTGAACTGACAAAAATAATTTCGCCGTTTGGGATTTGCAAACTGTCAGTTATTCACCAATTTAATTCTGAAAAACTCGCTAAGAAATAAATTCGTATCTCAAGATGAATATAAATCCATCGGAAAAACAACAACAAACAATACAAATTTGCCTGGGTAGATTTAAATTGAATAGTTATTATTATGTATGAGACAATTGATATTAAAATCACTAATATTCATCACTATTAATACAACAATTCGCCATGAAGAGAATGATTCGAACATTCAGAAGTATCACTCAGAACTCCGCACGCCATTATCTCATCTCATTATATCTTCAATGTTATTTAATGAATTTTCAACTACCAATATGAAGCGTAAACAGTTTCTCAGGCAAATGTGTATCGTGGGAAAACAGTTTATCATCTACTTTATCCTTTGAATTAGTTACAAACTGAATCATGACAAAACTATTTGTTATATACAGTTAATAGAAACCGGAATGATGAGTAGTTAGAATCTGAGGACTTTTAATGCTATTTCACACTGCCTGTAGAAAAAAAAAATTGTTTAAAACGGCAGTATAGACATATACGGAATTCTGCCAACCTCGTACCTGGTTGCCTTTACTGCATCGAGATTTTAATGTACCACGAAATGACTGAAAAGAAGTTCATCCAACGGTGGATTAAGTGTGAGATTGATCACATACATGTGGGAAAAGGTCATTAAAAAGCAATTTCACTGATTATGTGGGTCTGATATTGCGAATTGATGAATCGGTTGTAGTTCGAGAGGTGTACCCTCTGATGTAAAATCTGGGTTTTAATTTCATTCTGAAGATGCTGACGCAGTTATCGAAACACGTGTCGAGGCGATGAAAAATGGGTGAGTTCTGATTGACTTGTGATTAATTTTTAGTGATTGTTAGTATTACTATATATGTATCATCATAGTAGCACTCCACCTGAACTATTCTATATATATATAAATGTTGTTTATCTCATGGAGCACACCAAAAGGAAATTCCTATAATGGTCATGAAACATCACGCGTACCTTTTTTTGGAGGTTATATTATGTTCTAGGGAATACTTCCATTGGCAAATATTGTCTTCAATAGACGAACGAGTTTTGGTAGAGTGTTGTTGGACATTCTTCAAGGTTAACGACGATGAGAAGTGCTGACTGAGCCTGTTGAGTTCGTGTGACTGGTATTGCTAGTCGTGGAATTATAGCAGATATTTCTGAGAATTATTTCCCGTGGAAGTAACTATAGCAAATTGGAAAATCGCCGACTTTTCTACGATGTTCCAATGTTGTGAAGAATTAGTGAGTGTAGCATCATCCAACAGGTGAATGGTTCTTGTCTGGATGGAATCTAAGAGCATCAGCGTATGTTTGGGTGCTGAACCCCATAGATGAGAACAGGATTCCAAAACTTGAGTAGAGTATATTTTCGCACGGAATAAGAATCCGAGTTATTGTGGAGCAGCTTTTGCGATGGATCGGACATGATTTTTTCATGCGAGAGTATTGCTGATCTTAAAACCGAGATAGATATATTGGTATTGGTGGGAATGGTGGTACCAGACATTGTTATATCAGGCATACTGACTTCTGCCTTTCTAGAGAAAATAGGACTTTGTACTGTACACATGGACGACGATAGCGATCTTAATAATGTCTTCAATGAGAGCTCTGATACAGTCAAATTGCGACAAATCCATTGAAGACGACTGTACCTATAGACATGCAGGAATGAGGTAACAACACTTAAAGGCCGATATGTATCTACTACATATTTCACACGTCTGCGGATTAGGAAGCCTCAATATTTGCAATACTATATTGAGTTTCTCAACTTATTTCTATCATCTTGATAATTGGATCTTGCCTAACAATATTAAGGAGTTAAACTTATTATTTCTAATATAATTGTTATCACGGAAGTCATAGTAATTTTTTTTATTTCCTTCGCAGATATATATAGCGTTCTTTTGGCTTCACTATATACAGACTATTCATCCATGCGTATTATATAGGATTCAAGTAATAAAGAATATCATATATTAAATCTCCATTTCCATGTATCCAGAACATTAGGAAATTTGATACCATACACCATACAATCGGTCTGCGACTTTCAGGACTACTTGGCGATTGTTATAGTAGTTTCCGGATGAATGATTAAATCGAGAACGAAGTTTTCTTCATTGCAAGAGAAAAGTCGGCGGAAAAATGTTGGTAACTAACTCGTATATTAATAAGGCGATTTATGCACTAGTTGGTTGAATAACTATCGACATTGATCAATTATGTGTTTCACTCACTCACCAAGTCTTGATGTTAGTATAGTTATCAGTGAAATAAATACAAAAAGCTCAGTAATTTTCACATAATGTTCATAAAACGAACAACAATGTTAGATTTCACAAGAACAACTACTTTCCTGGCTTATGCCTCGCTGAACATTGAATTACATCCTCCCGAATGTTGTGAGCCTTCAATAATCCTCAAATAGAAGATAAAATCACTTGAGGATTATTGAAGGCTCACAACAGGTTATGTGCCCAGAACTCTAAACCTGCGAAGAAGTAATTGAAGCAAGAAGTGACGAAGAAGATAAGGAGGGAAGAAATTCCGAATCACATTAGATTACATCACCGACCGACGTAGAGCCCTGATCCCTGGAAAACAGGAGAAACATCATGGCGAGCGGAGGTGAGAAGTTACGAGAAGTTGAAATCCTTGCGGGGACCAACTACTACCCATGGTCAAGAAGAATTAAAGCTGCGTTGAGTCAGAAACGATGGTGGGAAGCAATAGATACTGGTTATCCAGATCAAGATGATCCTGAAGAAGAAGAATGGACACCACAACAACGACAGCGCAATGAAGATGCTCTAAATTATATAATTCAGAGAGTGGACGATTTGAATCTTTATAATGTAGATCAATGCACAACTGCTAAACATGAGTTTTATAACTCGACGTCAGAAACTATGCATCGACTAGTATAAACTAATACTGAAACAAGTATTAACCGGTCTGTAGGTGTCCAGCTTGGCCTGGCTAAATCGAAATCAATAGGCATTCAGGAAATAATTACTTGTAACAGTATTCATTTATACGAGTCGATGCATAGATTTCGGGAGGATGTAATTCATTTGTGATTTTACTTGAAATCATTCACAAATAATAATAGGGAATAATAAAATGAAAAGCATTAAGGTGAATGTTCAGAATGAAAAATAAAGAAAAAAATAGTTCATTAGCTCATTATCAAAGGTTCATTCCAAATGGCCGTGTTTATTGAAACCAAATTAATTTCTTGACTTTCAATTCAAATTGAATCCATTGTTCGAAATGCATGCGCACAATCTGGAATGAAAGCGTCTCTGCCATGTCTCTGCTCTTCTCCGTTGACAGCTGGCGGTACAAGATAAATTCTAGGGAAATTTCATCTGACGAAAGACCACATGTTAAACAAATAGTTTAAATTCAGCTGAATCTGGTAGTATTAAGCAACTCCGAGCAGCATCCGTTGTTGTTTGGCTTGAATAGTTTACTTAGTTAACTCTAGTCAAAGTTTGAGATATAGGGAGTACTTATCGTGGAATTATTGCCGAGATGCAGACAATGGTGTAAATGTTCAGGAAAGCAATGAGATAGTAATTTACTGCCGTGTTGATTCAGGACTACTCCGAATACATAATGAGGAATCGCTTCAGGAAATCGGTATATTTTCCATAATGTAGGTACAGTCGTCTTCAGATATCATGTCGCACATGGACGGTGTCAGCTCTCTTAATTACCGCTGCAATAAGAGCACTCATACCGTCCAACCGCGACATGATAAGTGAAGACGAGTGTACACGCGTCTCCAGTGAACATGTCGCATTTGGACGGTATGATCGCCCTTATTGCAGCGGTGATTAAGAGAGCTGATACCGTCCATGTGCGATATGTTCTCTGAAGACGACTGTACATATGTATCAGTGCTCAAAACACAAAGTCGTCGTCACAATTTGTCCACAGCTTTTCTGCCTTGTGGGGCACCTGAACCCCAATTTGTATAAGCAGAAAATAAAATTAAAATATTTTCACCATATTGTTAATCATGTGAATTAAGTATTTTCTCTATTTCCTTTCCATGTGAGTAACCTTACTTTTATGTATTGAATACTTTTCAACTTTATATATTGTTGCAGAATGTTTGCTAAATATGAGCCTATTTAGGCTTAGGACATGTGCGTTGATCTGATTCAAGTGATTTGCTCACAATTAAAAATTGTGGAAACGTCTT